ATATCGAATATTAGTCAGCCTTAAATGTTTATAATCATGTGTATACTGTACTGATACATCGAAAACTAATTTATATGCTAATAAACAACGATGGATGGCTTGAATTAGTCATTTTTGCGTCAACCAGGTGTGTCTATCCCATATTTTCATATGCGATACATATAGAGTAAAACCAAGAAAATTATTAATCAATCGATGGGTGTAATTATGAATCAAATATTATTACTAATTTATGTTCGCTTATTATTATTTCGTCTTCCGAATGTTATCACTCTTCATATATAAAGACGAGTGTGTTTACTTATATTTATCATACAGTTAACATTCAGTTAAACAGGTAAATAAATATTTCTAAATAATATTTTATTTATTTATTTGCTTACTTCTATGTTATTCTAGTTTATTTTCAAATATATTATATTAATAAACAATGGGCTTAGGAGACGATCTTCTTATTGGGGGAGCATTAGGCCTTGGCGCTCATGAATTATTTGGTCATCATCATCATCACAATGGATTTGGAGGTGGTTATCCTGGATACGGTAGTGCCTTCGGTGGTGGCTTCGATGTCAATTTTGGAGGCGGTTTTAATAATGGCTTTGGCAATACCTATGGATACGAAAATTCATATGCATACGGTGGCGGCTTTGGCACTCCTGGTTTCGGCGGTCCTGGTTTTGGTGGTTTTTACTAAGAGTTCAGTTTTCTATAATACTAAAAATATTGATATAAAATAAATAACAATGCACCATGAAAAACAGTGTGCGCAAAAGATAACCATTTATTTTTTCAATACAAGTTTATCATTATTAAATTCTGAAGCATATCGAATAACTCCATTCTATAGACGAATAATAAAATATCGAAAACGCATTTTCTTTCTTGTACTAAATTTAAATATATTCCTTTCGATTTTTATTCGATAATATACAAATATCTACTCGTAGGTCATTCTTAATCATTGTAAAAATATGACTTTTCATTTAGCTACAATACATCTATTGTTCGTTGTTATATTCAGTAGTTGATGAAGATAAAATTATTACAAATTTTTTTATTTTTGTTTCATGCTGGCAACATTACCTCGATAAATTTTACTGATGTACGGTAATTAAAAAGTTTGCTATAGTATTCACTTAAATGTATTGTTTTATGATACAAGGAGATGACATTTTATATTAGAAAGTAGTAAGCAAATAAGATGGTCTATCATTTATTTCCTATTGAACGTCGTTTACCTGATACAAAATAATTATTCAGTTGTTAATTTCATTAGCAAAAGTATATTCAGAAATATTTCAAGTGTCATATCTGATAAACATTATCAAGGACTAGCTCTCGACAATTATCTACTGAGTAAAGTCGTATTCATACAATGTCATGTTTTTGCTTGAGTTTTATATCACAATTTAATATATTGCGTACTATTTTGAATAAAATAATGCTTACAAAACATGATATTAACATTACTTTCAATATAGAAGTTTTGCGCATTAGATAGTTCGAATCAAAAAACTATTGATAAATAAACAGCATATATAAATATAAAAATTAAAATTTTTATTCTAACTAATTAAACGCGAGATTATTTAAATGAATTATTGTTTTTAAAAAATGTCATATATATGTACATCCAGTTTCTTTCAACGATGTTGATCAACTTGTTGCATTTGTTTTTGCAGTATTTGTTGTATCTCTGCAGCTGATTCTATTGCACGTTCATTTGAATTAAAAGTAACTGATGTTATTAGTCGCAGTAGAACAACTGAAACTTTTTTCGATGCTTTCTTCGTTTTTTGATATTGCCGCAATTGAAATAAATTAAACAACTCATTTTCTTCTTCGTTGATTGTTGATACTTTTTGACCCATTGTATTGTTTTCTGTTGCTGACGTCACTAACAATATCTGTGTAATATACACAACTACTTATGTACATTAACTTTAAGCTGCAGTTATATATTTCTGTACAACGTCATTTACTCAAAAATATTTACACAAAAACTGTCATGCGTATCGATCAAAAACACTATTTTGAGAAGAAACAGAACAACGGTCCTGTCTATTTTTATTAATAGCAACAAAAAAAAAGACTTCAACTTCGTTTCTATATCCTTCGATAAAAAAGTACATAAGCATCCGCTTCAAGCACCTTGTTTTCTGGAACTTTATGTATCGTATTATCACTGATATGATACCATGAAGATGGTGGAGATGATGGATCGTTTTCAGTTGTACTATTATTAATTTCACATGAATTATCTGTTGTAGATTTAAAAAGATTTGCTAATACATAATCAATAGGTTTAGAATAGTGTTTATTTAATAGATCTATATCGTTCATTGATTGTTTGATATAGGCAATATAATGTCCACTTCGAAGTGTACCAGAATGTTCAATTACTGCGTATAATGTATAAATAGATGATGTTGTTGTGATTTGTGCTGAACAACGATCAGTAAGATCAAGTTGAAGAGGAAATTCAATAAATCTATTAATTTTTTCACTGTGTGAACCGTACTAGTAAATAAAAGATGATGAATTATTTCTTTGTGAAAAAAAAAGAATATTTTTCTTTACTTACCATTTGAAATCGTTTAAGAAATACTGGTAATATGGGTGGAAGTTGGAAAAATACTGTTTGACGTGTTGCTTCTGTTAATACTTTTTCTAAATAGGAAAAGAAATAAAATAGTTATAGAACATTTTTTTCTAAATTTTTACTTTGTGTTTTATCTACTGATCGACAATAATAACAATCAAATAAATTTTCACCGGAAAGTGTTTCAGGTTTGAAATATCTTTGAAAACATTGTTCTAATGTTTTAATATTATCTGTTTCATCGGTTACATTGGAATTTTTCACTGTTTTATGACAATTTAAAAATTTTTGTGCAAGATTTTCATCTACAAATGGTAATGGACGTGATGCTGTTTCATGAATTAATGTTAATTTTGAAACCATATCAGAAAGCATACAAGTCGATTCAACTGCAGTTAAAGGTCCTTTAGATTCTTCTTCTTCGTCGTCTTCACTCTCTTCATCAGCTGGTTCCTCTTCTTCTTTATTTTCAACAGTCGATTGTTGTTCTTGTTCTTCGCCTTCATTATTTTCAACAGTTGATTGCTCTTGTTGTTCTTCTTCTTCTTCTTCTGCTTTTCCATGATCCGATTTATCGGTTTTTCCATCATTTGACTCTTCTATACAAAAGAGCAATAGAATATAGCATTACAAATAATGATTTCGAAATCTTACTATTTTCATTTTCTTCGTTTTTTACAATTGTTTCTTCAGTAGTAGGTAAAGGCGCTGATTCGTCAAGTGGTAATTGTTCTTCAACAGTTTTTTTCTTTGCTGCTTGTCGACCTTTAATTTTGCCAGTACTAGTTCCAGCACTTCGTCTACTCTATAACACATCGAAATAAATAATTAAATAAGAAAATTTAAATTCAATCTTATTATACATTTTTCTTTTCCTGTTTTTGTAAAGCTTTTTGTTGTTTTCGAGATAAAATTTTTGTTTCTTTTTTCGGTTTCGTTCCCGTATAATCATCACGTTTACGTCGATTACGATAATTTTCTCCTGGTGTCATCTATCAAACAAAAACCAAGAATTCATTGTTTATATTAAATAATTAATCCATTGATGTTACTCGATCAGTTAATGGTAATAATAGACCAAGAAATGGTTCAATTTTCATTAGTGACTAAAATAATTTATCATGCCATACTTTTAAATACAAATTTCTATTCAAACCTTTTCACATTTTTTACACGTAATAACATCAAGTAAATGACCAGAAAATATTGAATCATATATTGTATATGGTTCATTACATCCTATTACTAAAAATGTCGCGAATTATTTTATTATTTCCTATAAATTCTCCACATACAACAAAACATTTTTGATGGATCATCATCATTATCGGAATGGTTAGATGGTTTAGATTGCAAATGTTTTAACTAAAAACAAATGTTGATATAAACTAGAAAATAACAATAAAATATATGAATTACTTGATTTTCCTCTGCGCGTAATATTGACATAAGATTCATAAATAGTTCATGAGTATCATGTTGATCATATCCTTTATATAATGGTATTCTAAATAGAATAGAATATATTAAAGATATATTGTGATTGATGATGTAATTCTACCTTTGTATAAGACTATTAAATAATGGTTTTGGATCAATACTTGGTTTCTTTTTCTCAGTTGATGTAAATTCATCAAAAACATTCATTAATTGAGCTGTAGTAGTTGATGAATATTTTTTTTCATTTTCATTCATTAAAATACGTATCGTTTGATACATTGTATCAATTAATAATGGAGTATGAGCCAATGACTATAAATATTCAACAGCAATAACAAAAATCAAAACAATTGAAAGATAAAATACACACTTGTATAACAACATTGAAAAAACATGTATTACCAATATTGATAAGACCTTTAATTAATGTTCGTCTTTTTTGATTTTCTATAGATTCATCTTTTTGACTAGATTTTGATACTTTTGGCGAATTAGTTGATGTTGTTATACTACTACCATGACCAGAGTCAGTATCTGAAGCTAAATATAAAGTTAATGGTTTAGTAGAAAGTTTTTTAAATAAAATAACCTAGCTACATGTTTCAATTAATTTGTCATTGTTTACTTGTTGTTCCTTTTCTTTCTTAAGTGCTTGTTGTTCTTCAATTTTCTTTTCATTTTCTTCTTCAAGTTCTTGTTTTAATATACGTTCATCTTTATCACGTTCTCCGACTTCAACAGCTCGTTTTTCTCGTCGACGTTCTTTATGACCTTTACCCATTTAATTTTCTTCTTGATATTGCAATAAATTTAAAATTCTATTGCGAATTAATAATCTTCTGAAATAATTTTTTACTTTCGTAATAATACTCTTAGTTAAAGAAATATATTACTCATCACCAATAAGAATCAAATAATATATTCTGCCATCTATATTCTATTATTCATTAGTTACAATATTGACTAATAAAACATCTTAGTTACCTAATTTAATTTGTTTATTATTCTACCAGTATATTCGAAAATACCTAATACAAAATTGCACCTTTATACATGTGTTGTCTATTATTTTTGATGAGTAATTAGGTGAATGAGTGTATATTATAAATAAAATATGCGCACGTCATTATCACAAACAGATAGTATTTATAATATTACTAAAACGCCCGTTGAAGAAAAATCCGTTCGGGAAATTCCTCGTCGATCTCAAAAAGCATTTGATATAAATGATGCAAAAATATTAAAAGTAATTAAATATAGTTATATAAATAAAAACTTTCTTTTTTTATTCAATCAATTTAGAATGAAATTGATCAATCATTCAAAAATACGATTGGAAAACTTACTATTTTTGATCAACGTGATGAAATAGCTGGTAGGAATGTTATTTTCGAAAATTTATTTATATTTATCTTTAATTATTAGAATCTGTACAATCGCTTGCAAATCATCTTCAGCCTGAACGACCAATTACTCCTCCAGATGTTAGTAATTTCATTGCTTTGTTTTTTAAACTAATGAAAATCGAAAGATTCTATTGACGTTCATTTTCAGTCAGATATTAATAGAGATTAGGAATAAGCCAAAAGAATAGATGGGTTTTTGTTATTAAGGCCTACTCTATACGTCATCCATTGTTATCAATCGAGAGTATGATTCAGTTTAGAGTGCTCATAGTTCTCTTTCAGATTCGGTTCATAAATATGACAAGTTTTCCTCTATGTAAAAACAAATTCAGTAACTTCTCTATGCTACTAATGAAGTATGTGTGATCAAAACATGCATTGAATCATTCATGTGAAATGTCTATTCATGCAGAACTTCCGTAGTAATTACCCAGTATGATTTTCTGTGACGAATAATTACTAACCTATGAAATAGTTTTTATATTTTAAAAATAATGACGTTTCTATAATATAGGAGGACGTAACATTGGACTCAATTCCACGTGATGTTGATCAATTAATTGCTTTAATTCGACGTCGACTTGATGTTCGACGAGTACCACCACCGACCAGTCGTTTAACTTCCGATGATTTATCTCAATTAGCATCAGTTATTCTTACTCAAATGCGTTCAAAATGGTTAGATCTTGAAGATATGCGTGTTCAACATCCATTATTAACACCAAAACGAAATCATGAATTAATTCGTCGTCTGATTGTTAATATTATTACAATTTGTACAAATATATTTGAACATATAACTCAAGAATCTCAAGCTTATCATGATCGATATGTTTTTTCACATGCAGCTAATATGACTCGATTACGAACATTACTTGCTGATAAAATCAATACTTTGTAAGATAAAAAAAACTTTTATTTTATATAAATAACAAGTATATTTCAATAGAATTAATATTCATTCATTACGTGAACATCTTGCATTTGAAATGATTGAAGAAGAACGATTAAAAAAACATTTAATACCTGAAGATACAAATAGAAAAAGTCCTCGAAAACAGTTAAATAAACCAACTATTCTATCACAACATAATCCAGCTATTCGGGATGTGGTAAATTTATATACAATTATCTTCATTTCTTTGTTTCTATTTTCAAGAAAATTATTTAGATTGAACAAACTGGTAAAAGTTATAGATATAGACCAGCAAATGCTGATTATGATTCAAAACAATATTTTCATCAAGTAATTGTTTGAATTCAATTATAAAATTTTCTATTCTATTTTGTATTAGATGATGACAAGTATGCCTGATATTACTCTTTTACGTCGTCCACCTGTTCTACTACCACCAATGACTAGAAGAACTGATTCAGCAACATCCTCAAGAGATTCTTTTAGTCAATCAAAAAGTATGAGACCAAAATCAGCTGAGAAATTAAGTAAATCATCATTAGAAAAACAAGAAGAAAAAGATCTTACTCAAAGGTATGTTTTTCTCTCTCTTTGAATTGAATTATAAATCATTGGTTTTGGTTTTTATAGAATCTTAAAACGAGCAAAATATGGATCATTGCCCAATATTCATGAGAAATTTCTTTCAGAAGAATTTGATTTTAATTTTAATAATTTAAAAAAATTAAAATATAAAACAACAGATATCATACGTGAACGATATTGTGCTCCCGAAAAAAAAGTAATATCAGTTTCAAGAGAAAACAAAAATAAATAATTTCTTATTATCGTTTAGAAAAAGGATGATAAATCAGCTAAACCTATTTCAAATCGAGATGATCTCATAAAATTAACAACTCTAGTAAAAACCGATGAAGAAGATCCATCGGATGAGATCTCACCATTAATTAAGGTTCTTACATCATCTCATGATACTCAAGAACGTATTGATGAATGTAAACAAACAGTTGTAGCTATAGCAAAAAAACGAAAGAAATTTCTTGATGAAATAAAGTAAGATGATTATTGAAAAAAAACTTCTATTTGGCTTCTTTCTTTATTAAATAGAGAAAATGCTCGAGATGAACCATTATATCCTCAACCTGCATCCATTGAAAAAGCATTTAAAAATGTAAATTTATTTAGAAAATTAATTTCTTCTAAAAATTTTCTTTTATATATTTGTATTTAGTTAACATTTCGTGTGTCTGATATAACACTTGCAAATTTTCTTTTTCAATCAACATTTCTTTTAACAAGTTTTTCAACTATATTCAATAATTATTTTGGAGATATTGACGATGATACAACTGCATATCTTGATAGAAATTTACATATTGGACAACAAGTTAAAGATGTATATGAACAATTATTAACTACGATCGATACGGATCTTTGTTTTAAATTAGACATGGTATGTTATGAAAATAGGGCGTTAGATTGATAATAGATTATATAATTGCCTCTTTCATGTAGCTCCCCAATAGTATTCTCAAGACAAACAATAGTAAATATGTCTATATAAATATGAGTAAAAACCTATAGATGCTCGAACAATCGGAATATAAGTATGAATAGAATTCTAGTATGACTATTGAAGATTGTTTTTGTGTTTTATACGATGAAGTATTCAATATAAAAAGAAATAAACTATTCTATAATATAGAATATATTTATTTGATATTTTTGTTATTTCATCTAGGATACATATGTTGTTCAAAGTCCTGATCGTCTTAATTTACCAATTGCTCAAGCATCATCAACTTTAACAAAACCATTTGTCGATCAAATAAATAATCAAGATTTAGCCAAACGACATGAACCACCTTGGGTTGAATTTGATAACAATCGTCAACGTTGGATTCAAACACCAGATCCTCGTCGAATAGAGGAAGATGCAGAAGCAAAAAAGAAACTTAGTCTTAAAAATCGAAATAAAGGCTTACCAGAACCAACCGTTAATATGAGTCTTGTTCCTGATCCACAATTAATTGCTTCATATAAACCACGTAATCCTCGTCAAACACGTGATTTTCAATTGTGGAAAGATTACTGGACACAAGTTTATACAGATAATGATTATTTAAAATTTTTATGTACACAATCAACTGATTATCTTCATCATATATTTCATTTACATGATAAACTACCTGAAGATACACGTCTTAGTGAAGAAGATCAAGCATTAGTTGATAAACGTAATCGTGCCTTAAAAGAACGTGATGAAAAAATTGCACAATTAAAAGAACGTAAAAATAAATTTGAACAAGGTACTTGGAATGCAGATAGTGTTTTTCTTGGTGGTCTGGGTTATGAACCAACATTAAATCCTGATGATGATCCAATTGTACGATTTGAACAAAGTTTAGAAAGTCATCAACCTAAATCTAAACGTATTGATTTATTCGATCCAAGAGCTCATGAAAAAGCCGAATCAAATAAACGTTTATTAACAACTGTTTTAAATAATGTCAAAAATATAAATGCACAAAAACGTTTAGAATATATATGGAAAACAGTAAGAATGACTGATAATGATCGTTTACATATGGCTGTTAAATATAGTACACGTGAATATGAATCAAAAATTGAAGGGGTAAAAAGAAAACAAGTTCATAATCGAGATTATTTTATAGTATTGAAAATATTTTATATAGGCACTTGAAGCTTGGGAATCAATATTACAATTAATTGTTCGACGAGAAAAATTTATAAATGATTTGGAAAATTTTGAACGTACTGCATCGGATGCTAATCGATTTTTTGAATCAGGTAATTTATGTTCAAGGCTTTTGTGACATAAAGATATGTCATTTCATGACACTGACATTTATTAATCCATCTATACTTATTAAGATCTGCGTTTTTTTTGTATTATGATTCATACTGATCAACTCATCTCATCATTTTTTGTTGACAGGATGCGTGTTCTCATTATTGTATTCACTCTATATTATTATACCTCTAGTATAAAATATTTTGAAATGTTCAATGAGAAATAAAATTAACAATATATTTCTTCAAAAATAGAAATAATATTATCATGTGTCACATTTGAATCTCATGGGAATTGTACTGTAGTTTATTTTGATGTAACTAATTGGTTTTTTTTGTAGGTCCGATGGGTGCTTCGAAAACTCGTTTAAGTGAATCTCGTCGTCGAACATATTTATATAATCAATTATCTATACTTGAAAAACAGATAACTGAACAATGGAATAAAATCAAAACAAATTTTGGTGATACAGTTACTTATAATGGTCGTAATTATCTTGATAAAATTCAATATGATAAATTAGAAATGTTACATTATTTACAAGAAGAACGTCGTTTAAATTATTTACATTCCTATACATCCATTGGAAAACATAGTCAACTTGATTCAACTTTTAATCATGTTTTATAGATGATTTTTTTTTGTTTTCTCTTCGAATGAATCTCCAATAATATTTTTCTTTTTGATAACGAAATGAAATAATAATTATTTTTTTTTAAATAAGTTTTTTCTTTTTTGTAGATGGCTTCGTCCTACTCGAGTGATATTGATGATGTAGCAATGAGTTGCAAAGGAATGCAACTTTTATTAAATAATGATCTTGATGCATGTCAAAATTTATTTGATCGATATCGACTTTATTCACCATTAATGAATGGTGGATGGTCATTTGTTTCATTTATGGTAAAAAAAATTTCAATATTCTTAATTTTCTCATTTGTTGATACTTTTCTTTTTTTTCTAGCGAGCTGTGATATCCTTCGATGATCAACGTTTAGCACAAGCAGCTAAAGATTTAGCTGAATCAGAAAAATTATGTTCAAATGAAACGACATCGAAATTTACACGTTCTAATCTTTCGGCTAATTCAAAAGTAACAACAAAAATAAATACTGTTATTTTTAATTTTTTGTTTATTTCATTTAAATTAGACCATATCTTATGAAGAAAATCTAACGCGTCGAATTGTTATTGCTGATTGTAAATTATATCAAGCTATATTAACACTTATTAAACAAGAATTATCTGGTTTAATTGGTGTTGGTTTGCATTTACGTAAAGCATGGAAAGTTTATGAAAAACTTCATAGTGAATTATTTAATTTATATCGAACAAAAGATCCAAATGCAGAAAAAGATTATGGAACAAAACCAGAAGATAATATGGTTGTTCAATTTGATAATACTAATGAATTTAAAAGCGAAGATGATGGTGATGGTGATGATCTTTCGTTTAAAAGTTTTGAAAGTATACCAAATGATTCACCCGATGAACTTTCATTATATACAATAAAACGCCTTCTTGGTTCAGTTTCATTTGGTTACGGACTTTTTCAAATAGCACTTTCTTTTGTTCCACCAAGAATTATGAAAGTAATTAAATTTCTTGGCTTTGAAGGCGATCGGTAAAATTTATATTATATATATATATCTATGAATTTAGTTATATCATTTTTGTTTTATTATAGAAAAGCTGCACTTGCTGCTCTTCGATTCTCTAGTCATAGTACAGATATGAAAGCACCATTAGCAAACTTAACATTACTTTGGTATCATTGTATTATTCAACCATTCTTTGCAATTGATATGTCAACTCCACCTGGTAAGACTATATATTTTATTTTTATTAAAAATCTATACTCTATTCTGTTCAATATAAAGATATGAGTGAAGCCAAATCTATATTAAAACGTAATATAGATATATATGACAAATCAACATTATTCATATATTTTCAAGGACGTGTTGAAAGACTTGAAGTAAATTAATTTATTTAAAATTCTACGATTTTATTTTCTTTTTATAGAAAGATCTTTCGAAAGCTTTATCAACATTCCTCAATGGTCTTAATCCACCAAATCAATCAAAAAATAGCACATTGATTAGATCGAGTGAATTAGATCAGATATTAATTTATGATCTTGGTTTTTGCTATTTAATGATGTTACATTTTGAACATGCTTTGAGTTGTTTTATAAGGTGAGAGAATTCATCGTCTTTTATAAAAGCAAATTTTTCTATTCTTAAAATAGGTTAAAAGAAGAAAGTCGATGGTCAAAAGCATTCTATCATTATACATGTGCACGTAAGACGATTTTGTTTTTTTTCTTTCTTTCTTTGTATCAAATTGTATTATTGTCTATTTAGTTTGTACAGCCTGTATGAATGATCCAAAAACATCAGCAAATTTTGTTAAAGATGGGATTAAATCTCTTCAAAAACGATCAAATCCAGTTGAATTATTTGTGCAAAAACGAGTATATAAACTATTATTTAGTCAAACTATATATCTTTTTCTTTCGTATTCTTTATAGTTGGATTATTTAAAAAAAAATCCACCATCAGTATCTTCAGCACATATACTTATATTTGAAATGTTATATTTATGGATTCTTTTACCATTGTGTGACAAATCAACATTAAAACAAATTTTACAAAGTAAGATGATGATTTCTAAACTTAATAAATGCATAAAATATAGAATCTCTAATCCTATCATTGCGATATTTCTTTCCTCTTTTTTTACATATTATCTTCTATTTATAGAGGTCGAAAATCATGGTCAAGATTCAAAAGATGACCAAAAACTTCGTCCAATTACTTGTTTTCTTGAAGGAGTTATTCATAATATTCTATATCATTATGATGATGCTTTAAATGTATTGTTTTGTTTTTCTTTTTTTTTAAATTTAGAAATTTTATGTTTTTTATTAATATTCTAGTGTTATGAAGAAGCATTAGCTCGAGCAGAAGATTCAAAATTACATCTTACTCGATACATATTACCATTTGCTTCATGTGAACTTGGTATACTTGAATATATTGATAGACAAGTATATTTCTATGAATTAAAAATCGAATTTTAATTATTTGTTTTTTATTTTATAGAATACTGAACGAGCTAAAGAATTATTAACAAAAGCTAAAGTACAAGATTTATTTTATTTTGAATAAAAAATAAATATATTTTCGTTTAGGAAAAATATAGTGATTATGATTTTGACAATCGTTTACAAATTCGAGCAACGGCAACACTTAAAATAATATCTTCACGAGAGGCGTCTGCAACAACTGCAGACTCAACAAAATAATTATATACCGTTTAAAGTTTTTCTACCGGTGAATTAGCTTATTTGTCATAATAATTCAATCAAGATCAATTTATCTTCTTTATCCACTAAACAACAGCGTGTTTTTGAACTATTTTATTCATTTTATTTTCTTGACTATTGGGCTTTTTTTAGAACTATTTTAAACAAAAATTGTGTTTCTACATGTATATTGTAAAAATAAACTAATTTAAATAACAACTTACTTTCATCTTGACAGTGAGTGTTCGTGTGGATAACTAATAAACAATCATCCACACCACTATCCATGTTAACCATTCGGGCTGTCACGACTATAAAACAGTGTTTTACTGCCTTATTTTTAGTCGGATTTCACTGTAATACGGCGCCGTTGCCTGTGCCCTGGGTGTTTGTTGACAGGTGATTCAATTAATCGTATTTCTAAAGATACAAATACTTCAGATGTGTTCATTATTAAATCTTGTTCAATGTTTAAATGAATATTTACTGATAAAGTTAATAATTATCTTGTTTTTTTTTGTATTATCACCCATAAAAATCATTATTATTAATATCAACAAATACTTCTCTAAAAAACAAATATACCCAGGTCGATGATTACGACCTCCGTATACGATAGTTTACGACTGGCAATTTTCGACCTGGTATAAATATAGACATATCATTATTCATTCAATCGATCAATGCTAATTTGACTACACGATATAATCCGAAAGATGACATTAAGCTACGAACTAGATTAGCGATGCTTCTAGTCAACAGTTGGTCCCAGATCGATATGAGTCACCAATCAGTTCGTCAGATTCTTTGACCTTATTCTTTTCTTTCATCTAACAGCTTTTTTTATTTTACTCAAATTGAAATAATGAGTTTTGCTGATACTCTTTCTTTATTTATACAATTTTATCACTTAATTGGTTTTAGATAAAACCTTTTTCTACCACCGTCGTCGTTGTCGTTATCATCATTTTCTTTAATAACTGAGTTATATAAACGTATTCGACAACCACAAAAAAACCGTGTTTAAACTAGTATTGGATGAAAATAAAATAAATTATAAGTATTTTCATATGGCATTCCCCGATGCTGTCGGGTTATGTGAGAGAGATGAGAATGGCTGTACTAGGTTAGTTGAAAAACACCTAAAAGAAACTTTTTAGCCAAATCTTTATTGTTTTTTTAGTATACCATCAGATCAAAATGATAATTTTACGTGGAATTCGGATAATAATGTCGTTTATGACCTGATTTATTCTGATCGTAGGAAGAAAACAACTTCAGAAGTTATATCATCACATATGTTCTCTTTGTTTTCCAGCACGTAATAATTGAGTTGTAGCATCAACAACAATAAAAGATAAAACTTGGACGTTTTTAGAAGTAGGCTAGCGGTAAGAATTTTCTAGTTTATTTTTTACTACAGGTTAACTGAGACTATTTCGTATGCTTTTTTTAATAATAGGATTATTTTCACAAACAAGAACACCTGATCAATATAAAAAATTAAATTAATAAACGTATGATTGTAAAAAACCTGTACATTTTTTACATTGTTCATAAAAAAGGCTCTTATGTGCTCGCATAAAGTGCATTGTTTCTTCTTTTTTTAATCAGACATTTCTTATTCGCTTGCGAACTCGAATCATGTAAGTATTATTTTTTATGCCTTTTTTTATTTATGATCATGGCTTATCGATGCTTTTTGTACTTTGTATAAAACAGCTTCAAAAATATCATACTTAATGCTCTATTTTCTAGGAATTCTGATTTTATGGATTTTGGGAGTAATACCGTCTTTGTATGCAAATATTTATGAAGATATCGTTAAATCAATTTTTCTATCATT